ATATATATATATATATATATATATATATATAAAATATATATATATACACACACACACATATATACATACATACATACATACATATATATATATATATATATATATATTTTAAAGGATTGTTTTATTATAAACATAAAAGGAGAAAGGTACAAGAGGGGGTTGGCCGTCCCCAACACAAGGCCAAAGCAAAACCACAGGAGAAAAAAACCAAAGCACTAAAGAAAGGAACAGACCAAAACAAAAGGGAAACAGTACAACCCACAAACTGGCAAACAACACTTTAATAATTGCTCACTACCAGCGAGAACCAAAACAGAAGCATGGCCCGAATCTAGTCTTGCATTCTGTTCCTTCTGTTTGTAAAGATCAGCATCCAGAATTTCCACCACATCCACATAAATCTCCTAATCTCAAGAAACTGCTGCATTGAACATTGTACAACAAAGCTAAAAATAATTCTGCAGGGGGAGGTTCCAAAGATAAACGTCCAACCCAATGTATTCTGTCATCCCTCCGTCCAAACAGTGGGAGCATCCATGCAGCTGAGCTAGCACACCAGGGAGATTTGGCATTGATGAGAAGAGTAAAATCAAGCTCCAACTCAAATTACTGACTTGGGTTAAAGCAGTAACTAAAAGAAAGAAGCAAAAAGAACAATTTGTAGGTTTAGATCACATTAATTTGCAGGACAATCAATAAGCATATTCAATCTCTTCGTCAAAACCGTAATCAGAAAGTTGAGACTGCTTCTTTTTCTTCTTCATTTTCTTTTTTTGAGTTTTGGTTAGAGGTTTGCTAATCGGTTTAGGCTCTTCGATCTTGTGAGGACAACAAAGTTTGAAGAATTTGATAACCTCGTCTTCATGTGATTCCTGGGGATCTAATACGTCTTCTTCTTCGACCCAGCCGATAGGATTAAATTTCCTTCCTTGCTCAAGGATTTTAGCCTTACTCCTCGTAACAATTTGTGACGGTGAGTACATCTTTCTGCCCTTTAGTTCCTTACGGAGATGGAGAGGGTGTTTGGAGCATCTAGAAAAGTCAATTTGCAAAGGTTTGAGCTTTGAATCTATGAACACAAAATCCTCCCCATCGGAGTGGGTATAGAGAATGGGTCCATCCCTTTCCTTAGCGTGATCTTCCACTGAGTTGAGGGATAGTATCAAATTTTGACCATTGAGATTTGAAAAGGGGTCTTCTTCCGGCTTTGTTATAGCGTCGGTTCCTTGTTCGTGAGTGAAAAGAGCAGCATAGGAGTATAAACCAGGCACAAAGGCGGGAGCAGAAGGACTAAGGATTATCCGTGGTAGGGGTGGGAACACTTCGGCTTGACCGGTGGATAGGCTGTAATTAGGGGCTGCTTGAGTTTGGAAAATAACTAGTTGCTTGTTTGATTCAGCGGAGGTGGGATCTTGAACTAAGCCCTCTGAACTTGTGACATCTCCACTTTGTTGTGTATTTACAGTCTGCCCTGTATCTGTAGGCATGGGTGAAATAGCAATACCAATGGGAGAATGGCTCTGTGAATCCTGATGTTCCTCAGACACCCGCACCTGTGACCTTACCTCAAGATTGGTAGCTCTCTTGGTGAATATGGCAAGGGCCTTTGTGAAAAGTTTTGGGCCATCAGCGTTTGAGTCGAAGGGGATAATAAGAAATGTACTGCCCTCTCTTCTAGACTCTTGGATTTTCACAAATTTGCCCCATTTATTGGAACCAATGGAAAGGTCTAAGGTTCTATTGTCCTCAAACTTGGACACTGCCCTACAATTAGGCTGTGAGAAAAACGGAAGGGAACCCAGGATCCAATTAATCGTGTCCAAATCAAACCAAATGTGATATCTTCTAGCTCCGAAATCAGAAATGCAGAAGTTGTGATTGTAGATGGAATAAAAGAGCTCAAATACCTTATTATGAGTCTGAAATTTGAATCTGATGTTTCGGGTGGTTGTTGTTGAACACTCTGCAAATCCATTGAAGCGTAATCTCGATTCACTGTAGACATACCGGTCGTGCTTTCCCTTAAAGAGGGGGTCTTTGAAAGGC